CAAGGTGGCCAACTGATTCAAAGCCACCTCCAATGGCGAGCTAAGAAAAATGACTTCTTAAGCGTTCAGCAGCTAGAGAAGACACCCCGTACCGAATGACGGGGAGGAAAGGCTTGGCTCAGATTCAGCAGGCAGCATTAATTCAATCGCCACGGGACAGGCAGGCGCTGAGAAACCTGCTGTCAAGAGGCAGAAGCAACAGAGGGGGGATATTCTGCCGCGACAAACTGCTACAACAAGAAGAATCAAATGAACGAAGGAGGTGTACGAGGGAAAGCTGGGCTGTTTGCTTGACCCAACACGGAAACACCCTGTCAGCCCCCTGCCAAACCTATCAGTCGTTGCTGGGATCTCTCTTCAGTATAATAAAAGAATTAGCCAGGTGGCGGAGAAAGTGAAGACTCATTTGAGGAAGGCCAGAGACATTTTTCTTAATAAATTTTACACCTTTGTAGGAATGAAAGGCTCTGCACTCGCCCCAGGTAGGAACAGTCCCTGGAACAAAATATAATAAAAGGAAAAAAAGAAAGTGGGACCAACATGGTACCCTCATCCGTAAAGCTGCCCTGCACCGTCAGGGCACTCATTCTGATGGCTGGACTGGAAAGCCCCTTCAGCCCTCAAGAGTTTAGGATGAGAGGAAACGGCCTCAAGTTGTGCCAGGGCAGGGTGAGGTTGGCCATGGGGAACAATTCCTTCCCCTTGGGGCTGTCAGGGGCTGGAAGGGGCTGCCCAGGGAAGGGGTCGAGTCCCCAGCCCTGGGGGGATTTAACAGCCGGGCAGAGGCGGTGCTGAGGGCCAGGGTTTGGGGTAGGGGAACAGTTGGGCTTGATGGTCTTAGAGATCTTTTCCAAACTAAATGATTCTATAATTCTATGAAAAGCGTTCCCACTCTGCCACCAAAGATATAAAAAGGATGAGTAGCAAGATTAAATTAAAAAAATAAAAAATAAAAAAAGCACTTTGCTATGGTAAATCCATAGGAAAACTTATTCAGAAGAGTTTTGCAGAAGCAATGGTGGGGTATTTATCTGAGATAAGGCTGGGGTCATATACCTCATCACTCTGGTCTCCCTCCGGCCCAGACCCCAGCGAGAGCACCCACAGCTGGCTCACTGCCGTGATTCCAGAGACGTGGGACTTGCAGGATCTGAGAATATTCTTCTGCAACACGAAGCCACCTCAATAACACACGGTTTAATTCTAATAAAATGGCGCTCTTCATCACGAACGTGTTTGGTCACCAAATTCCTCCAGGTTACGGCACAGATGGCCGCAAATACCACATCTTAGAAGGGACAACCTCTTCCGAGGAGGATCAGCACGCGTCTGCACACTTCACAACAAGCATTTCAGCCTGCGCAGTAGTCCCTCTTCGCAGGAGGCTATAGCCGATCTACAGGGAGGAGGCAGCCCCCCAACCGCTCGTCCTGCAGTCTCCCCGACTGGCACAACCCTCGCTGGCTCCTTCTTCAGCAGCAGGAGGTAGGTGAAAAGTTTCAGCATGAGTAGGCCGGGAAACACCTTCACATTTAATTAAACTCGAGAGTTAATTCTGGAATGACTCAACCAATCCGAGGAGTTGCATGTCACACCCACCCCCACGACAAACTCCTCTGCCTGTGAGCTCCTGGGCTGAAGGACTCCGGCATCTCTGGCCACGGGCCGCTCTCACAGCCCTTACAGCCCACCCCTGCAGAGCCAGGACCATGATCCTGAGGATTTACCAAGGTTACAGATCATTTCTTTGATGTAAGCAAGCGACGTTCTTAAAAAAGAAAGGTTTCCTAGGGAGAAGGACTCTTCTCCCACGGGTTGGAGCAGAAGCTGGTCCATAAACTCGCACCAACCCCATCTACAGTGTGACCTCCCAGCCTGCTCCTCAGTGCTGGGACCCCCACCAAAACGTGGCTGGGGGGGTCTGGGGTGCCCCTTTTCCTCCCCAAACCAAGATATTTTATTGAATCACTCTGCCTGGCTGCTGGAAAACCCACGACAGCTCCATGGGAGATGCTGGTTCTATCTCCCACCCCGTGCCCGGGGTGAGGGGCAGCGTCGGGGATGGGGCATCACCAGCACGTCCCAGCACTCAGCCTGGGCTGGAGGTGCTCAGCACCCCCTCACCCCCAAGGGGCCCTCACAGAGCCCCCCCTCCCCGGGCTGGGGATGCCCAGCACCCCCTGATAGCCCACCAAAGGGGCTCAGCACCGCCCTTCTTCTCTGCCTAAAGCCATAGGAAGGAGGGGGGGGACGACGACGACTCTCAGCTCCCCCTCCTGCCCCCCTCCAAAGGGGCTGGGGGGGGGCCCGCCCCCCCCC